AGGCCCTGAACATGGATGTCTTTACATTTTTTTGTGTGTCGTCTTCAATTTTTTTCATTAGTGTTTTATACTTTTCCTTGCAGAGACCTGTCACTTTCTTAGTTAAATTTATTCCTAGGTATTTTATTGTTTTTGTAGTTACCGTAAATGGGATTGGTTTCTTGATTTCTTTTTCAGCTAGTTCATTGTTCATGTATACAAATGCTACTAATTTTTGTATGTTTATTTTGTATCCTGCAACTTTACTGAATTTGTTTATAAATTTTAAGAGCTTTTTGGTGACGTCTTTAGGTTTATCTGTATATAAGGTCATGTCATCTGCATTATAGGGACAATTTGACTTCCTCCTTTCCAATTTGGATGCCCTTTATTTTTTTCTCTTTCCTAAATTGATCTGGCTAGGACTTCTAGTACTATGTTGAATTAAGAGTGCTGAGAGTGGGCAACCTTGTCTTGTTCCAGTTTTTAGAGGAAAAGCTTTTGTTCAGTATGATGTAGGCTGTGGGTTTGTCATATATGGCCTTTATTGCATTGAGGTACTTTTATTCTATATCTAATTTATTTAGAGTTGCTATCATGAAGGGATGTTGAGTTTTATCAGATGCTTTTTCTGCATCTATTGAGACGATCATATGTTTTTTGTCCTTCATTCTGTTGATGTGATATATCACATTTATTGATTTACACGTTGATCCATCCTTGCATCCCTGGGATAAATCCCACTTGAACATGGTGTATTATCTTTGATGTGTTGTTGGATTTGGTTTGCTAGTGTTTTGTTGAAGATTTTTACATTTATGTTCATCAGGTATATTGGCCTGTAGTCTTCTTTTTTTGTTGTGTCCTCCTTTGGTTTGGTATGAGGCTTATGCTGACCTCATAAACAGAGTTAGGAAGTATTCCCTCCTCTTCGATTTTTTGGAATAGTTTGAGAAGAATTGGTGTTAGTTCTTTAAAAGTTCAATAGAATTCAGCAATAAAGCCATCCAATCCTGGAATTTTCTTTGTTGGGAGACTTTTTATTACTGATTCAATCTCGTTACTTATTATTGGTCTGTTTAGGTTTCTATTTCTTTTTGGTTCAGTCTTGATAGATTATATATGTCCAGTAATTTGCCCATTTCCTTTAGGTTTTCAAATGTATTGGAATATAATTGTTCATAAAAGTTGCTAATGATCCATTGTATTTGTGTGGTATCCATTGTGACATCTCCTTTTTCATTTCTTTTCTTTCTTTCTTTTTTTTTTTTTTTTTGAGATAGAGTCTCACTCTGTTGCCCAGGCTAGAGTGCCATGGTGTCATAGCTCATAGCAACCTCAAACTCCTG